CACAGATTTAACATTTCAGGCATATTCAGTGGGTTTTAAATTCACGGTTTTATCATTTAGATAATGTGTTCTATGCTCAATTTTACATATTCAGTGGGTTTTAATTTAGTGCATTTTCCAGTCAGCGAAATAAGCAAAATTAAAACCCAGTGAATAATTAATTAACTCTTTTACAGTAGTATTGATTTGACAGCTTGCAAGATGCGAGTTCAAATCATGGACATTACCTTAATACTTACCTATTAATAAAGAATGGAATATTTAGATTTCAATATGGTCTATCAGGGGTTTTTCTAGAAAAAATGAACAAGAGGGAGCACACATAGGCGATCGACCAGGAAACTTCATGTCTGAAGGTTTCTGCACAGTTTTAACAGTGTAACCTATCACCATTGAAATATTTTTGGAGTAATTTTGGTGTATTTAGGGTCCTGACACATTGTCAGCTGGTGTTATTGAAAAGTTTTCACGGAGAAAAATATATTTGAAAAAGATTTCATTTTGTACGGCAGCACGGAAGTGCTAAGAGGGCATCATCCGCAAGTATCAGGGCGCTGCGCCCCTGTTCCCTGGTTTAGAAAAACCTCTGGTCTATCCCTTATAAATCCAATCAATGATCCAACAATTTATATCTTCTGTATTGTGACAACAGTTTATAAGGTTAATTATGTTGTATTGATGTGTCGTATCTGTGATAAGAGTGAAATAAAATGCTGCCGATCAGACAATTTTTTTTTATTTGACAAGCATCTCTGATAAGAATGAGTTAGAGCACATGACCAATGAGTTATATAGGCATTATACTGGTTAATAAAGTTAATGTTTTATTATAAGTTAATTATTTGTTAGCCTCTGTGTTAACCTTGTTAACCCTTTGCATGCCATACTTCTTCCCTGCAAAAATGTTGGTGCAATATTTGTCCATAATTTGTGCATTTTGGACCCATGGGCTTCAGTTCTTGACAAAAACTTTAGAACATTTTTGCAACTTCCTGTGAATAGTGGTGAAAGTTGATGCTTAGAATGGAAGGAAAATTTACAAGTGTCTTTAAAATATGTAAATTTCCTAAACCATTTTCCTATGTTGAAACATTTGTATTCAGAGTAAAAAACTTAAAACTGAATTTTTTTCATCTTTTCTAACTGTGAAATGTAAATTTCTAATTAACGCAATCAGGGAAATTAACAAGAAACATGAATATTTTTGTTGTTGGCCTGACTGAGTTAGCTTGATGTAATTAAATTAAACAGCATTTTGTGTTTTCACCTGGTGTGCAATTCTCATCTGTCAATGTCTAATGTCAAAAAAGTTGATTAACTACATCCTTGTACTAAGATGGACTGGAACAACCCAGGCAAACAATTTGACCTGACCTGACCTGACCTGACCTGACCTGACCTGACCTGACCTGACCTGACCTTTGACCCTACCTCTAGATTAATTGCCATGTTTGTGTTCATGTTGTGATGTAATTGTTACATTCAAATTAAAAACTCTGAAAAGGAAATTTAATTTTGTCTTGGATATTGATCTGTATATGCTAATTAGTCTGGAATGTCGACCAACCAGCAGAGTGCATGGTGTGAACATGATTGATTGCCACAGTTGTGTGCAGTATAGGTACTTACAAATGCTTGTTGCATGGTTAAAATAGCATATTGTAAGTTCTAGTCTTCATGCTGCGTTGTTGAGTGTGCAACTTATGCAACTTGTAGAACACATGTAAAACGCATTGTTTGTTTATGCAGTTTTTTTTTTCCAATTATTTTACAAAACGATAAAAGAAAACTATATCAAAATTGGCAATAACTGATTTACCAGTGCATTAACTGAAAATGAACATTTTTAAAATCATAGACTGATCTGTTTGAACAGGCAACATACATGTAACAACATTAGTTACAAAATAATTGAATAAGAGATGTGTACATATGTGTCACACTACATTGCACTGTCATAAATGATGGAAAGCATGAAATTTCAAATTTCTCTTGAACAAGTTTTTTTGCCTGATTCATTAAAGATAATTAACTCAGTATGTAAAGTGTATACCATTAGATCGACTGTACCAGGAGAAATATTCACTTGGTTTAATTTTAGCAGAATTGATGTCGCAAGGTTGTTGATTAGATTTTAAAGGACTTGATTGTGACGAAAGTAAAACGTTCGAGGGTTAACTAGTTAAATTATTGATGAGTATGCCATCAGGCTAAGAGAGAAATAAGGAAACTAAACCCAGGAAATAATTAGAACTCCAGTTGTCATTGATGCAACCTGTTCAATATGGGTCTCCCCATGCTGTGAATACAATCAATTTAAAATAGTCTTCATACAATATTTGAACACAAGCAGTACAAACTGGTGATACCATAAACTACTTTAATTTCTCGCATTTTTCGGTGACTTCTGTGAAATTTTGTCGAATGCCATATAATGTTCTCAAATTGTGGAAATTCCTAGTAGCAAAAATTAAAGCATTTACAATATAAATATTGTATATTACTAACGTATCTCATACAAGCATATAACATGTTTTAAATTATATTGATGTAAATCTAGATCGAAAATTGAGTTTGTTGCCCATTCTAGGATGAATTCTTTATGATGTCAGATTTTATGTTATAAATAATCAGAAACTTTAAAAGTAATCTGTTCATTAAATTGATTCAGATGCAGATTTAATTTTTCCTATTACCCAAGCCAGTGTTTTACAAGCAGCCTTAATAACCCTTATCCTGCTACCCCCATGTACTTTTACATTATCTTGACCAGATAAGGGTTAATTAATTAAAGCGGAAGTTGTCAATCCCTGGGATTGTGCCATGGAATTATGGGGCGACATTGACATTGTTAATCTGTGTCCCATTGTAATTTTAATCTAGTCGGTAAATAGGCTCATGAGATTAGGTTTATAGTGAGATGAACATGGATTATTTGGTTGTTAAATTCTACTTGCATTCCTCCACATATGGTGACATGACCCACTGTACATTAATAGATTGATGTATAATAAATTTGGTACTGTAAAATCTCTATTAGAAGTCTCATTCCTAATAGAAGTCACACCCATTCTTTTTGAATAATGGAGAACCAAAAATTCATGATTTTTCATATTTGTAGATGCTTTAAATAGAAGCCGCATCCTCTCTGTTGCATTGTATCATTTTAATAGAAGTGACTGTTTCTATTACAGATTTCACAGTACATTTTTATTAGTCCTTGTGCAATACCCCTCGCGATCACACATCCTTGTAGTTTTTTTTTTTGGGGGGGGGGGGGGTTCTGGGGTATTGTCTTATATTTGAATCAAGTAAAAAATGCACAACATAGAACCAGCTTCACCAAATTTAGGATATCTGCACATACCCTACCAATTGAAAAACTTAGATATCAAGGGATACCTCCAGAGAAAAGAAAGTGCCAACTTTGTAACAATGGGGCTATTGGCAATGAAATCCATGCACTTTTAGACTGTAACCATACTGGAATAACAAATGCTCGTACTGAATTTCTAAATGCAGTTAGCATTCATAATGAAAGTATCCTTAAACTATCAAAACAACAAATGTTTACAGAAATTTTAAGTTCGAGAGATGGGTTCATTGCCAATAGTGCTAGCAAATTTATTGACAGCATACTATTTTACTATAAATAATTTTACTTAGACTTTAGTTATTTATGTATTTTCTTTTGTCTCGTGTGTGTACTTGTGTTTTATTATATTTAATGTCTTTTGACCACAGATAATGTAACAAAATATATTATTTAGTATCAAATAAAATGTACTATACTATACTACTAACAGAAAAAAATGTTCAATATTGTAGCTACGCGTTTTTTTTTAATGAAACCAATAAATAAACATTTAAATAAGCACTAAAACTGATCAGGGCGTAGTGTAAAATAATAAACCTGTGCAGTGGATTGAAGGCATAAACAATGCCCTACTGTTCACTGATCCAGTGTCGGTATCTCTCTTAGAAGGTAAAACGGAGACTCAGTTTACCTTTCTTGAGGAGACCTTGAAACTAGTTCAGTAGACTACAATGGCCCTCTTGTTTAATTCATTTTAAATGAGCATCATTCTTCATAAAAGTTGAATGGAATAGTTTTCCCCACGGTCGAGGCATTACACAAATAAATCAGGGTTCTGTTCTGTTGTTTATACTTACAAGGTGGGACAGGATGTGTGTTGTGGGATTTGATAGGATATTTTCAACATACAGATAGTGTTTAGTAAATCTAACAATTATCTGTTAAAATGTTCCAACACCTACGTCGGTGCTTTATTAGATCAGTGAGTTTTATATTTTATCGTAAAAGGCATAAAATCCGTAAATTCATTAAAATTCTATTCAAAAATCACAAATTTGTATTTTACCTTATTATTGAAATTAATACAATTTAAAAAAATTCTGTAATAAACATCAATTTATCTAAACTGGAATGTAAATATTTCAAAATACAACTGCACTAAATTATTGTGCATAATTCATTTGAAATTTTCGCTGAAGAAACTATTCAGTGAAAATAAAATGAAGCGAATATAACTTTTATTTGCTATATTTTACATTCAAGTCATCAAAAATCAGTGAAAATAAACTCTTGATGGTACCACAATGTGTAGCCTAGGGAGTTGTGCATAACACCTGTTTGAATTTTTGCATACTGTAGTAAGCCTGTTTTATTTCATAAAAATGAAGTAAACTGTTAAAAGTGACATAGAGGGCACTGTTTACCTAAATTGGATCTACCATACTTTGCTGTAAATCATCAATCAAGTAATAATTTGCATTCAGAGATATCACTTTTCTTATAATAATGTGATATTCTTTATAACAAAAGATCTTTGTTCATCAGGGAAATATTATTGGAGTAAAATGTTAGTCAATATTGTTGTCTTCAGCAGTTACTTGTTAAAATAAATACTAATAATTTCAAAGCTGTATAATTCTGTCATTTTTGTGAAATCATAATATATATACATTTTTGTTCACAGGTATGTGGTCTTGCATTGATAGTCGTTGGTGCACTTGCCCAAGTCAAATACTCTGAATATACAGACATAACCGGTGGTTTGTTTGCGGGTCTACCGATATATCTTATTATTATTGGATGCATTATCTCTGTTGTTGGTTTCCTGGGATGCTGCGGAGCAATCAAAGAAAACTATTGTATGATTACAACTGTAAGTATATTTCAGCATCCTGATAACAAACGTGAAAATTGGGAAATGTGTCATGGCTGATTATTTTCTCTTCATTATTGTAAGCCTTCATAGTGATACTAGAAACATTTTGCAACAGGGTTTCAAACACATTAGTTTGCCATAGCTTGAAATGACTGAATGTACCAGTCTCATCCAAAACAAAAAAAGATACTTTGTTATTATACCCACTTTTTTTGGCAAAATATTGTAAAATAGACAATAAAAAATAGATGTCACTGCAACATTGTTTTTAGCATCTCTGGGCGACAAACAAATCTTTTTGAAGGAAGGGCTCGAAAAGTGTTAGTGCTGAGAATATAAGCAGAAACTCGTCTCAAAAGTAAATCCAGAGAATAGTCGTCAAGATTATATACAAATTTGTATGGTAGATTAAAAAATTACTGCATTTGCTCTTTTATTTATAATCTTTATGGACTGGCTATGGCTTTTGTGGCCAAAGATCATGCAGGAGGAGCACCCAAGCTTGCTCGGGTGCGTAAACTGTACGACCAAGGGTAACAAAGCCTGTAACCAGTCCGTAAGGGTTTTATCATATATGCCTATATAGTTGTAATTTTACCACGGTGTGACCTCAAACACAGGATGTAATTTAGAATTACACATTTTGTTTTGAATGATGAAAACCAAGCACGCTTGGCAGGGCATGATACAGGAAATTATTGTTCTGATGTGAGCGTTACGAGGCTGGGCAATAAAAGGTATATGATAATGTATATTACCGATGTGTTTGTATTTAAATAAGTAATATTTTGATGATTCGATTATACATGTACACAGGTAATTTTTGTTAATCTATTGGAGATGAGCAAATACAGGGTTGCATTAATTAATGTTCATTTATTAAAACTATTACTTGTGTACCTCATGGTGTTACATGCATGTTCTACTAATCAGCAAATACAGTATATTTAGTTGGGTAAGGTAGCACCAGGGGGGAAAACGAATAAAAAATTGTGATTTTGAGAAAAGAATTAAAATGTTTGATTATATTAATAGTTTAAATGACAATGTTCATTTAAATTTAAAATTCAACTAAAACTAATTTTAAAGAATTTAGCGTGTCTGCCAACTCGGAGTGGCAGTGATTTTCTCAAACTAATGTTAATCATTTTAAAAGAATACTAAAATCATGAAAATTCATAGCTGTGTACAAGAGGTACTTTTAATTAATTTTATAATATCTTTTTTACCTTGCCCGTAACATCAAAGATGGACGGGAAAGGTAAGGGAAAAATTTCTGTCTGGTGTTGTCGTCGTTGTTGTTGTCGTCATCGTCATCGTCAGCGTTATCGTCGTCATTAATAATTGTTATTGTGTGCACAATAACTTTAATAATTCTATTCCAATCTTTATCAAACTTGTTTCTTTCAGTTTGCTGTGATATTAATTATCATTCTGATACTTGAAATTGCTGCTGTTATTGCGGGATACATATTGCAAGATGAAATTTATGATGCTGTCAATGAAGGCCTCACAGACTCGATGGATGACTATGTCGATGAAAACCCAGCTGCAGTGGAAGCATACGACAATCTACAAGAAGAGGTACTTCTATGCATAGTTACTTACATTATGGCTTGTATTGTATTAATTCATCGTCTACTGACATATTTTACTGTCGGTGGATGTTTTCAGTAAGCATTGTTTTATTACTGGAAATTGCTGAATTTTCTGTGCTTGAATTTATCACAATTAGGATTTCATTCAAGCGACATGGTTGACTGACCGTTTTTTTTATTGTTCTCTCGTTTGTCTTTCCTTACATCTCATGTACTGTGCATGCACTTTATTGTCCAGATTTTTCTGCACTTTTTTCGTATATTCTTCAATATTTCTGGAAATGAATCCTAATTTTAGATCCAAAAGACAACATTTAAGTAAATTTTCAGTTTTCAGTTGGCTTTTTGTTGCAATCTTCTGACGTAAACTGCAGACTATAAATAAAACTATTTTGTGAATTTGTGATGAAAAGAGGAAACTGGTGGTGATTGGAGCTCACTTTCACAATATTTCATAACATTTTTAAAGACAACCTTTAAGTATGATTAATAAGCATGAAACATAATTTTGATTGAAATTTACTAGCGTACCTGTTCTCGGCTTTTAGCCGATATCTAAAAACTGGTTGCTCTCAATATGTTAACATTCATTGTTTTGTGAGCCCTTAATTTTCTATACACATTTGAAGCACTGATGTCAAACTGGGTTTCAGGGTAAAAGTCTCTTGATGATTGATGGTCATTTGTGACTTGGAATATTGTTATCATCTTCATTGTTATCATCTTCATAAGCATTCCCAGTTAGAATGCAATACAGATAAAATGTCAAACTGTCAGGCCAGTGTGCTGTTAACTGTTAGCCAGTAGCAGTATGCCATTTGTGCCTATATGACATGCATCTGACCCAAAAAGATTTTCTGTGCTGCAAAAGAAAATTGTACATTGAAAATGGTCTTGAAAAACGTACAATATTTGCAATTTGGTAAAACGAAATTCACATTTAGTATGCAAAACTAGTGTAAAAACGAAGGGAAATCAGTGTCCACAAGTTTTTGCCTCAAGTTCCCCTATACAATCACATATAATTTTATTTTTTTCTTGAAGACTTCTCGCTCCAGCAGTCAACAAGCAGACTCAACTTGATATTGGTGGGGGGGGGGGGGAATTCCATTTTGACGCTAGATGCCCACAAAATCTGTCCCTTTTATAGAGGACGCACTTGGTAGTAACAGAGTTTAACGTTTCATTTTCCAGTTTAAATGCTGTGGTGCCAATAACTACACAGATTGGGAGTCAGCGTATAATGAAACAAATGTGGTACCAGACTCCTGCTGTAAGAATATCACTGCAGGATGTGGAACAGATTATACACTCAGTGAAATCTGGCAAGATGTAAGTAC